TCCCACCCTCCCACAACACCCCCCCACCCCCCACACACCACACCACTCCCCCCTCCACACCCCCCAACACCACCCCCTCCTCACCCCCCACACCCCACACACCCCTCCCCCCCACACCCCCCACACCACACCCCCCCACCACCCCACACCCCCCACACCCCACCACACCCCCCCCACCACCCCCTCCAACACCCACCACCACCCTCCCACCCACACCCACCCCACCCCCCACCACCCCCCCCAACCTCCACCACCACCTCCCCACCCCCAACACCACCCACACTCCCCCTCCCCAACCCTCACACCACCCCCACCACACCCCCACACACCACCCCTCCCACCCCCCCACACCCCCCCACACCACCCCCACACACCCCACACCTCCCCCCTCCCACCCCCCACACACACCCCTCCCCCCACCACACCCCCAAACACCACCCACCCCCCACACACCACCCCCACCCCCACACCACCCACCCCCCACACCCCCACAACCCCCCACCCCACACCCCCCCACACACCCACCCCTCCCCACCACCCCTCCCACACAACCACCCCCACCACCACCCCCACCCCCCCCCCCACCACCCCACACCCCCACCCCACCACCCCCCCCACCCCACACTCCACCCCACCCCACCCCCCCACACACCACCCCTCACCACCCCACCCCCCCCCCCCCCACCCCTCCCCCCCCCTCCCACACACCCCCCACCCCCCCACACACCCCCCCCCACCCCCCACCCCCCCCACACACCCCCCCCCACCCCCCCCACCCTCCCACCCCCCACCCCCCCCCCCCCCACCCTCCCTCCTCCCCACCCTCCCACACACCCCACCCCTCCCCCCCCCCCCCCACACACCACCCCCCCCCCCACCCCCCCCCCCCCACACACCCCCACCCTCCCTCCCCACCCTCCCACACACCCCCTCCCCACCCCCCACACACACCCCCTCCCCACCCCCCCACACACACCCCCTCCCCACCCCCCCACACACACCCCCTCCCCACACACCCCCCCTCCCCGCCCCCCCACACACCCCCCCACCCCACCCCCCCCACCACCTCCCCCTCCCCACCCCACCACACACACCTCCACACACACCCCCACCACCTCCCCCCTCCCCACACCCCCCCTCCCCACCCCCACCACCTCCCCCCTCCCCACCCCCCACCACCTCCCCCCTCCCCACACACCCACACCCCCCCCACCACCTCCCCCCTCCCACACACCCCCCACACCCACCACCCCCTCCCCACACACCCCCCCCACACACCCACCACCACCTCCCCCCTCCCCACCAGTGTCAGTCACCCCACACCAAAGCCGCCTAAATCTTTGGGGGCTAGATTTTGATGATTGTATTAATGTGGTGCAAGTCACTCATTTCAGCAGTGGGGCTTCAGGACCATTCACTACTAATCCCACAGCTCAGTGAATAGAATGATTAAATGCTTCTCAGGAACAGGAAATATTGACAAAGGACCAGTCTGCCCAATTTGATGCCTGCCTGCCTGCCCGCCTGCTGTTGGCCTGTTCAAATCAGCATTTTTTCAGTGATTTGTATAATGAATACATTTCTCGTATTTTTTTTCAAGGGTCTAACCCATTGAGCGCAAACCATCAGTGAACAGCCGACACATATTTAATAAGCAGACTTGAAAAGATCCAAACAATTCATTAGGCAAACAATATGTCCTAGTAATCGTATGAGATGTTTCAAAATAAATGGCATGGTTATGTAAATCGCTATTTTTAATAAGTTTTTTTCCAGAGAACAGGCAATTCATGAGATAAAATCTAGCATCTGCCACTGTAACACGTTCTTCAATTGTTGTACCCAGTTTGAAATAGTCAAAATCCAGAAACCTATCATGAACAAATATGCACACTGTAAGTGACATTCGTTATGGTGGCATAATAATAATAATAATAATAATCCTTGCATTTAATATAGCGCTTTTCACGTCGGGAGGACGTCCCAAAGCGCTTCACAGAACACACTGTAAAGTGAATTGACTGTATATTTGTGGGCGAACACAGCAGCCAATTGCGCACAGCAATGTCCCACAAACAGTCGTTGATTGAAAATGACCAATTTATTATTGTTTTTGGTTTTGGAGGGATTATTATTAGGCTCTGTGTGGAGTAAGGAAACTTGCCCAAGGTTTCGCCCTCTGCCTGGAATTGAACTCAGGTCTCTCGCTTGCAAAGCGAGTGCTCTAACCACTGAGCTACAGGACTCCACATACCTACATTAGAGGCATACCTCTAATACTGTTGTGTGCTGTTTCCAGAACCCTGCCAGCCTGCTAAGTTAGTAGTATTCTCACCTCTGAGTCAGCAGGTTACAGGTTTGAAGCCCCAGGTTGGGATTTTGAGCCCCAGTTCTGGAGGGATACTGTGTTGTTGTTGGTACTTCTAAAAATGATAAGCGAGTTTCTCTCCGTTCACTAATGGACAATCCCCAGTTATTTCACTGATAAGTTTATGAATTATTAACTTTTTATCAGATTATAGTTAATAATAATGAAGCGTTCCAATTCAACAAGAACAGGGGTAAAACTGTATCTATTGACGTGATCTTGTACCAACAAAAGCAGTTATTGTGTAAAGTGCTCAAATCAAATGAAAGTACATTTGTCTTTTCATTTATTTTATCCATTATTATAACAATAATAATAAAAACTTCAATCAACAATTATCACAGCTCAAAGGAACAGCTGATTGGAGTCAGATCTATAATAATAATAATAATCCTTGCATTTGATATAGCGCTTTTCATGTCGGGAGGACGTCCCAAAGTGCTTGACAGAACACACTGTAAAGTGAATTGACTATATTTGTGGACGAACGCGGCAGCCAATTGCGCACAGCAATGTCCCACAAACAGTCGTGGATTGAAAATGACCAATTTATTATTGTTTTTGGTTTTTTGGAGGGATTATTATTAGGTGTGTGGAGTAAGGAAACTTGCCCAAGGTTTCGCCCTCTGCCTGGAATTGAACTCAGGTCTCTCACTTGCAAAGCGAGTGCTCTAACCTCTGAGCTACAGGACTCCACGTTGATATAAAAGTTGACATGGTTGGTTATACTTCCAACAAAATCAATGCCTTAAAGCGTGAGGCTTAAAGCATTCATTTTTGGTCATTTGAATGTATGACACACACAGAAACTCATCATTTTGTTTAAGAGTATCCAAACCAGATTGAGAGTTCCATATGTGGATGACACCTAAACATGGAAAATTTTATATTTTTTCTAGCATGGAATGCACATTCTCTCCCTGAATGTACACAGTCTGCTAACGTAATGCTGGAAAAGATTAACTGTAGGTTGGTAAGAGCCAATTTGTGGGGACCATATATTGTAAGATGACCATATTTTGTAAACTAAATCTGGGGACACATACAAAAAAAATGAACTCAGCACATTTCCTAATGCTGGCAGTACTGGAGAAGCTTGTTGGATTAATGTCAGAATTTCTCTGATCTGTTTTAGAATGTTATTGTTCTTGCTCAGTTTGGTGCTGAACTCAAGACAGGGCAATTTGGTCCCACGGACACAATACCTCATCTGGGGACTGTCCGCAGGCTTTGCCTTGCACGATTAACAGGGATGGAATAGAAAGAATCTTTGCTCACTGTGAATATTGTGTCTCTCCATGTCCTACCGACGTGCCAGTCTGCCTTGGAGTACTGCAGACCAGCCTAGCACAGGAACCAGACTACCAAGACTGCCTAAAGGGATCGACTTGATTCTGATATTGCATTGCCAGGGACATCAATCACCCCAAGAAGACTCGGCATCCCTCACCCCCACTTCCCTTTTTGACAGCGCTTTGACAATTTTTCACACTGCTGTGTGCAATTGGCTGCTGCGTTTCGCCCACAAATATGCAGTGAAACCACTTTACTAAATATAGTATTCTATGAAGCTCTTTGAGATATCTCAACAATGTGATAAGGCGTTATGTTAAATGCAAGCATCACTGTTATTATTAATTATTATTTCCCAGGGCAGTCAGATACTTAAAGCAGGATACATGAAAGTAAATCAAAGGTTTAAGTTTGATTCTTTCTCTCAATAGGAGAAAAAGTAAAAGAAATCAAGAGATTTCTTTTTTAAAATGTTTAATAATAATAATAATAATAATCCTGGCATTTGGTATGTTTATGTGTATGTTTTATTTAATCGTTTTTCTTTTGATTTTCTCTTTGAATTTCAGGTCAGTTATTATTTCAATGGTTAAAATTACCCTTTTAAGGATCTGAGCAGCTCCATCAAGGAAAGAGAGAGGGGGAGAGGGCGAGAGCTGTGAAAACTGGCTGATTGGTCCTGTTTCCTGATTTCAGTATACGGTGATTTGCATACCAACATATTTTGAAGCTTCTGATGGCAATGAGGGGAATTGCACAACCCACAGAACTTTAGAACAGCTTCTGTTTTTTTATGGTACATGTGGCAATTTTCTTTGTCGTTGGTCCTCTTTGATAACCTCGGCAGCTTTCGGTCCGAGTGTACAAGGGAAGAGTAGATTCAACCTTCTGATCAAATGGATGACCACAGCACTTTTATACTTGTCCTGTATGGACTGATCAATTCTGCCTTCGCGGCAGCACTGGTGAACAGTTTTCGCAAGTCCGACACACAGTTGAATCTCAGCAGCTCCTGCGTAACTCTGATGCTGTTGTTTTGCGGAGAGCTGTTCTTTTACTTGTATTTCTCATCTTATGTTGGTCTTGTGGTTTTCATCTTGTGTTCTCTGCTAGCGTATGTGTCAATCCGATCCAAGGCAATGCTTTCTCCAGGGGGAAAAACTGTTCTCATTACAGGTGAGTGTGTGTGTGTGTGTGTGGAGTGGGGCGGAGGAGATAATAATAATAATAATAATCCTTGCATTTGATATAGCGCTTTTCACGTCTTCTAGACGTCCCAAAGCGCTTCACAGAACACACTGTAAAGTGAATTGACTGTATATTTGTGGGCGAACGCGGCAGCCAATTGCGCACAGCAATGTCCCACAAACAGTCGTAGATTGAAAATTACCAATTTATTAATGTTTTGGTTTTGGAGCGATTATTATTAGGCTCTGTGTGGAGTAAGGAAACTTGCCCAAGGTTTCGCCCTCTGCCTGGAATTGAACTCAGGTCTCTCACTTGCAAAGCGAGTGCTCTAACCACTGAGCTACAGTGGTGTTTTGTAGCTCAGTGGTTGGAGTCCTGTAGCTCAGTGGTTAGAGCACTCGCTTTGCAAGTGAGAGACCTGAGTTCAATTCCAGGCAGAGAGCGAAACCTTGGGCAAGTTTCCTTACTCCACACAGAGCCTAATAATAATCCCTCCAAAACCAAAAACAATAATAAATTGGTCATTTTCAATCTATGACTGTTTGTGGGACATTGCTGTGCGCAATTGGCTGCCGTGTTCGCCCACAAATATACAGTCAACTCACTTTACAGTATATTCTGTGAAGCGCTTTGGGACGTCCTCCCGACGCGAAAAGCGCTATATCAAATGCAAGGATTATTATTATTATTACAGGACTCCACAATGTTTATTTACTGCTAGGAGAGCCTTAGTAAGGTTGGTTATTGTCCAGGTTGTTAGAACATTCGGGGTGAAAATCTCCATTTACGAGTCATGTTGCTTTAAGAATCAATCATTGTTTTTGCCTGACTCCAGAGGGGGGAAAAAATATCCAACAATGGAATATTTTGATTCAATGTGAATGGATACAATTAGTTTTTTTTAAATAATAATAATTTCTATTAGTTTCACTTTAAGTGGAAAATAGGTAGTAGATCTGGGCAGTGGAAGCTCACTGTGCTTTGGCTTGTATTTAATAATAATAATAATAATCCATGCATCTGATATAGTGCCTTATTACATCTTCGAGACGTCTTAAAGCGTTTCACAGAATATACTGTAAAATGAATTGACTATATTTTGTGGGCGAAATGAAATTTGTCCCATTTGCCTGTGTTTTTACCTATTCTTTAGGTTGTGACTCAGGATTCGGGCACACGTTGGCAAAGCATCTGGATTCCCTTGGTGTTTATGTATTTGCCACAGTGCTTGATGAGGAGGGAGACGGAGCACAAGAGCTCAAGGCAGTCGGTTCAGATCGACTGATCGTCTTTCAGATGGATGTTACAAACCATGCCATGATTCAAGAAACTAAAGAGAAAGTTAAAAAGCAGCTGGGAGGCAAGGGTGAGTCAATGGATGAAGAACTACTATATACTACTGGACATCATTGACAATAATTTTCCCAACACTACTAACCCATACAGGTTCCACAATATTTGACTGGACTTGATCAGGCAAACAAATTGCCCCCCCATACTTCCCCTTATTATTTTAAGCTCCTCAGTCAAATCATGCCTTTATCTCCGCAGCTCCAGTTAACTAAATCTCTCATCATAGCTCAGTCCCTGCTTCATCCCAGGTATCATCCCAGTGAATCATCACAGGACATCTTCCAAGCCCTCTCTAAGGTCAGATGCTCAAAATTGAACATAAAACTCCTTATGGGGTCTGAACCAGTCCTTGTCTGGAAGAGTGCTTGATATTCAACAGTCACTTGAGTGAGTTGTGTCCTGTATCTATCTTTGTGCAGGTAAATGCTTTGCAAAGTGGAAAGTGCCCACCCCCCCCCATCCTGGCCAACAATTCCCAAAATAAAATTAGTCACTCACTCCGTGGCTGTTTTTGGGACATTGCTGTGCACAACTGGCTGCCACATTTCACCCACAAAATACAGCTAATTCGCATTACAGTGCAAAATCAAATGTAAGGATTATTATTGTTGTTGTTTCATTAATATCCTGGAATTATCACTAACCCTGACTTCCATTAGGAGGAGCATGCTGAATAATAGCACTAGTAACATTCACCGAATGATTGCTCTGTCACATGCAAGATGATGAAACATGGAATTCAGTGAGGATGGAGATGGTTTGGGATGGGACGGGGTGGTGAGTTGGGGGGGAACTTGGTTTGCTGAAATTGAACAGATTGCTGCTGCTGAGGGCACAAAAGGGAATTTCAATCTTCACAGTGAATTTGTGGTTGACATTCATATTAACTTCACAAACTTTTTAATACAGGGGGAACCTAAGACAGCTTTTCAAAAGGCTTTGCAGTCATCCCATTAGCATAATATCAACACAATTAGAAGACCTAAGAACATAGTTGAATGAAACCCACACTCAAATTACTGTTCTGAAGTGAAATATACATTTGTGAGAGAGGCAGTGCAGGGCTCCGGTTCTTTGAAGGTAATTTTTGGAAAATGGTTTGAAAGTCAATTTAATTAACAGTAATTTGCAACACTGAAGGAATTGTCTCAATAGCAAATGCAGTATCTCAAAAGGAAATATTTGATAGAATATTGCTGGGAACAATTGGTTTTATGATGAGTTTGGAGACAGACAGATGCCAAGCTCAACATAAACTCAAATGTTCACAGACGATTTTTGTTAGTGTTTCTCAAGATTGTTTCACTCACAGAATATGCAGTCAGTTCACTTAACAGTAGATGCCTCAAAGAGCTGTGAAGCCTGTGGAGTCCTGCAGCTCAGTGGTTAGAGCACTCGCTTTGCAAGCGAGAGACCTGAGTTCAATTCCAGGCAGCGCGAAACCTTGGGCAAGTTTCCTTACTCCACACAGAGCCTAATAATAATCCCTCCAAAACCAAAAACAATAATAAATTGGTCATTTTCAATCTACGACTGTTTGTGGAACATTGCTGTGCGCAATTGGCTGCCGCGTTCGCCCACAAATACACAGTCAATTCACTTTACAGTGTGTTCTGTGAAGCGCTTTGGGACGTTCTCCCGACGTGAAAAGCGCTATATCAAATGCAAGGATTATTATTATTATTATTAATGAGATACCACTGTGGAAATGATGTCACATTCTCATTTTGATAAAACAACCAGTTCAACTGGTTTGAATTCGTTAACTATTTTTATGGGCCTTTGAACTATTCCTGTACATATCTGCATGGTTTGCCGAGCTTTCAGACCATCACCTCCGCCCTTCGCCTTGCCCTTTCCCGCAGTTTTTTTCAAGATCCATCTCAAGACTTTCCTCTTTGACTATGCCTTCGGTCATCTTAACCCCCACCCACTTTGACCCCACTCCAACTCGGGAAACCCTCAACTGTCCAGCAACTTGAGATGTCCTCCCATTGTGAAAGGCACCACATAAATGCAATTTGTCATTGTTCTTTGCTTTTTTTATTTTTATTGTACGCATTTGCCCACAAATACACAGTCAATCCATTTCACAATTTCTGTAAAGCGGTTTGTGATGTCCTTCCGACACGATAAGGTGCTATAACAAATGCAAGGATTATCATTATTATTACAATAATATGGGATAACTGGAGTCCTGCAATAATAATAATAATAATCCTTGCATTTGATATAGCGCTTTTCACGTCGGGAGAACGTCCCAAAGCGCTTGACAGAACACACTGTAAAGTGAATTGACTGTATATTTGTGGGCGAACGCGGCAGCCAATTGCGCACAGCAATGTCCCACAAACAGTCGTAGATTGAAAATGACCAATTTATTATTGTTTTTGGTTTTGGAGGGATTATTATTAGGTGTGTGGAGTAAGGAAACTTGCCCAAGGTTTCGCCCTCTGCCTGGAATTGAACTCAGGTCTCTCACTTGCAAAGCGAGTGCTCTAACCACTGAGCTACAGGACTCCACAAGCTCGGTATTTAGAGCATTCGCCTCACAAGCGAGAGACCTGGGTTTGATTCCCGGCAGGGCGAAACCTTTGGCAAGTTTCCTTACTCCACACGCCTGATAATAATCACTCAAGAAAAAAATAATAAAATTAGTCACTTCAATCCACCACTGTTTGTGCGACACTGCTGTGTGCAATTGGCTGCTTCGTTTCGCCCACAAAATATATAGACAATTCACCTTACAGGAAATTCTGTGAAGAGCTTTTGAGACATCTCAACGATGTGATAAGATGTTATATTCAAATGCAAGGATTATTATTAACAAAAATCTTACAGAGAGCTAATTCCTGGATTTTTTTGCATTTCTCTAGGATTGTTTGCTCTAGTAAATAATGCTGGTATCATTGTCCACATTGGAGATTCAGAAATCATCCCCACAGATGCTTATAAAAGGTGCATGGAAGTCAACTTTCTCGGAGCTGTTGAAGTTACTAAAGCATTTTTGCCTTTGATTCGTCAAACAAAAGGAAGGATTGTTAACATCTCTAGCCCCTCAGGTGTGTATAACTACCCGTGCTTTTCTCTCTTTAGTGAGTGCACTAACTACATGATTATACTTTTCCCAGAAAACACGTTCAACAACTTGAATTTATATAACACACTTCACATACGGCAACATCTCAAAGCACTTTATGGAGGGCAGGGTTGGATGCCAAGGTAGAAGGGGGAGAGAAGAAGGAGAATTGGCCTTAGGCAGTCTGGCTAAGTTGGTAGCACTCTCGCCTCTAAGTCAGAAATAGTGGGTTCAAGCCTCACATCTGGACTTGGAATCACATAGTATAAGCTGGCACTACAATGCAGTGCTGGGGGTTGCTTTTGCATTGTCGGAGGTGTCGTCCTTTGAATGATACATTGAACCAAGTTCTTGTCTGCCTGTTCAGGTGGACATTAAAGATTCCACCGCACTATTCAAAATACACAATAAATTCACTTTACAGTATATTCTGTGAAGCGCTTTGATACATTTCAAGGCGTTATCTCAAATGCAAGGATTATTATTATTATATAATCAGTTAAGTCTGATGGTGGGGGCTCTTCCCTCTCAGCATTATCATCAGAGTCTTAGTAATATTGGAGCTGGGTCTCAGGGAATGTAGAAATGTCCCTGCGAGGCAAATCTAATTTGCACAAGTGTGTGATTTTTCTTTCCCTGCAGCTAGAGGGAGCAATTAAAGCAGAAAGTGCTTTCTCTACAATCTGCCTTAGTCAAGTGAAGAAAAGTGCCGAAAAGTACTTTCCTAATTTACCTGGGTGCCAGTGAATTTATCTCTCCAATACACTGCTCTTGTAACAATGCATGAAGTAACGCTAATCCAACAAGTTGATTTCAAGCTTTATGCATTGCGAAATGAAATTCTATTTCTCAATCCCACTCTCATGAAGGGCAACAACAACACCAAATTACACTTGTATAACGCCCTTCAAGTCGGTAAGACATCCCAGGGCGCTGGACAGTCAGAGGGTTTTTGGACCCGGCAATGCCTGACTGTCTTTCAGATATTGTTCGGATGTGTTGCACGATAGTTTTTTGGCGTGTTTCCTTGTTTGTTCTTAACAGTAGAGATTTCCGGATTGTTTTAATTTACCATTATCAAGTGGTCGACATTGCGATAATCAACATCTGAGTGGTGGATTCAGGCAAGGTAGTCCTCTTACCTCTGAGTCAGAAGTTGTGGGTTTAAACCCATGTCAGGACTTGGAATCACATAGTCTAAACTGACACTCCAATACAGTGCTGGGGGGTTGCTGCATTGTTGGAGGTGCCGTCCTTTGGATGAGATATTGAAACAAGTTCTCATCTGCCTGTTCAGGTGGACATTAAAGATCCCATGGCATTATTTAGAAAGAGAAGGTAGTTTCTCCCGGTGTTCTGGCCAACAAGCAAGCCCTCAGATGAAATTAGTCACCCACTTCATGACTGCTCGTGGAACATAGTTATTGCGTAAATTAACTGCCATGTTTGTCTACAAAATATGCAGTTGCTACACTTTACAGTAAAATACCATGAAGTGCTTTACTGTAAAGTACAGTGACTGTATTTCGTGGCACGGGAAGCACGTGGCATGAACGAATGTGGCAGAGAAAGGGCTTCACTCCTGGCAGAATAAACAAAAGGTTAGAACAGGGAATAGAATTCCACACAGCAATGTGCTACAAAGAGCTCATTTAAAGACAAATGGTTATACATGATTGTATTGGTTACAAAGACTGCTGAGAATGTAATTCTTGTACGTGTTCCCTGACAAGTTCTTCCAGCAATCTGTAAGTTGAATTTACCAAGATTACAAGGTAATAAGTGGATCCATGTGTTGAATAAATGTATATAATTGTAACAGCTGCATTTCTTGAGCTGATTCCGCGTATAACTAATTTTCAATATTAGCGTCTTTCAGTTGTTTATAGTGTGAGAATAATAATGATTTAGGATAGATAGGCTTTATTAGTTCCAGACGTGGAAACATAGTTTTAAGACTCATAAAAATGGTGATAAACTAGTTATGATTGAACACTGGCCTTCCAGTATAGAGGCCAAGGTGATGATAGTGAAATACTCAGGAATTGGGTGAGTGGAGTTCTATAGTAAACTGTTTTGGATACCAGTCGTTTGCATTGGTCATAAACAGCACAGTGTACATTTCAGAAGGATACTTCAAATAACATTACAAGCTTCAGCTACTACGCTCCTAACCTCTGGAACTCTTTTCTCTCCATCTCGCCACCCTCCTCCCCCTTGCTATCTGTCTTTAAGTCTTGCCTTAAAACCTATCCTATTGACCATGCCTTCGGTCACCTTCCCCCTTCCCCCTTGCTCACTGTTCAATCCCATCTTTGTTCTTGTTGTACTGATGGTACCAAATTCTGACGCGAGCATCAAACAGCATCACGCGGAACCTCAGTAGGAATTCTGTCTTTGTTCTAACACTTTGTTTATTGTGCTGGGAGTGAAGCCCTTTTCCCTTTTTGCATTATAGCAAACCCTGGTATATGTATCACCCACTCACTCACACACACACACACAGCCGGGCTATAAAAGAGACGAGCTCTAATTTGGGGGGGTTGGTTCTATGCAAAGCATTAAAGTGACAGCTCTTTCATAACATTATAACAGAGTACCTGGGTTCAATGGATGGTCTAAAAGCTCTCAGTGGACCATGAGAAAGTGAGCCCAGTGTGATTCACGCCTGCCGTGTTTACACTGTATGAAATCCCACAACTCTAATAACCTCCTCCAAATGTTTCTTGCTATTTGTATTGCACGTGTACATTGAATCTCTGTGAGAATCACATTGATTCACGTGCAGTGGGAATAAAATGTACACTCCTACTTTGGTGGCTGCTTGTCTCTCTCTGCATTCCAAATCTACTTTTGTGCTATCTCCTCAATCAGGAAGACAATCATATGTAGCCTTGCAGAGTGTCCAGCATCAAATTACTAAAATAATAATAAATAATTATCCTTGCATTTGTAATAGCCCCTTTCACGCTGGGAGGATGTCTCAAACCAATTCACAATATTTACTGGGAGGTGCGTGACTGGGATTTGCAAGCAAATGCATGATCCAAATTGCATACAGCAATGAGCCATGAGGTGAATGATCAATTTTACCTGGGGAATTGTTGACCAGGACACCGGGAGAAACTCTCTTCTCTTTTCGAGTAGTGCCATGGGATGTTTAACATCCATGTAAACAGATAGGTGGGACCTCGGTTTAAGAGCTGTTGAGATTAGATAAATAGACATTTGGGAAATGGACAATTAAGGAGGAGGGGAAATTAATTTGAAAGATCTGGCATGATCTAATATATCGATGGACGGGCTGAGGGGCTGACTCTATATTCCTAATTATGGGGTCAATAAAAGTTTGGGGATCAAGCCTCTTGGTGGAGGGAATTTGGCATTATATTAAATAACTACCAGATGGCTAATTCTGATTTAAATGGATAAGAGCATCTGAGCTCCACCTTATCAAGCCAGTCCGGAACCTTGGCGTCTTGTTTGACCCTCAACAATCCTTTCTATCCCACATCTGCGCCATGACCCGCTCTGCTTTCCCCCACCTTTGCAATATCGCCTGACTCTGCCACTGTCTCACTCCACCGGCTGCCAAAACCCTCATACATGCTTTCATTACATTGAGGCTTGACTATGCAAACTCTTTGCTTGTCGGCCTCCCCAACTCCTCCCTCCATAGGCTGCAGATCATCCAGAACTCTCCCGCACCAGGCTCCGTGACCCTATCATCCCTATCCTCGTCCGACTCTACTGGCTTCCCATCACTCAGGATACAGTTCAAGATCCTGGTCTTGCTTTAAAGCCTTCAAAGCTCTCCATGGTCTTGCTCCTTCCTACCTCCGCGACCTCCTACCCCCTACCATCCTGCTTGCTCCCTCCACTCAGCGGGCTCCAGCCTGCTTCACGTTCCATGCCTTGCCCACAGCACCACTCTGCCCCCACCCTCTGGAACTCCATCCCACAGTCCCTCCGCCTCGCCCCTCCCTTGCCTCCTTCAAGATCCATTTCAAGACCCTCCTCTTCGACCGTGCTTTCGTTCACCCTGCTTCCCCCCTCACCGCCCTCCCCGATCCCGACCCCCAGCTCGAGTCCAAAATTCTGTCTGTCCAGCACCTTGGGATGTCCCCCCGATGTGAAAGGCATGAATTACACATGTAATTTTGTTGTTGTTGTTGAGCTTGGTTTTGAGATAATTGATACATCCTCACAATTGTGTCTGACCAGCCCTTTGCACTGGCTGGGAATGGGAGAGGGGCACTGGGCTACAGTGGAACATGAAGGTAACGTTCATAGGCAGGGGCTGGGGGGTGACCTTGACTGCTCCTTTGCTTTACTACTTGAAAAGGGGATAGGGTTGGGAGTATGGAGGAGTAATATAAGACTATATGTGTGTATTTTTTTAAATTCATACAGCCTGTTGGCTAGATTAACTGACAAATGATCCCTTTCATAACCTCCCAAAGCCCCACAAGGGAAAATTCAGCATTCTTTTTGAAAAAAAAATGGTTTTGACAATTTAATTTCTCCGACAGCTGTGCCTGTCAGATGTGTCTCTGTGGCAATGGGAGAGCAGATACCAACAGTACAGCTGCCTGCGTTAGATAAATCCGCAATGAAAATGATTTTAAAAGATCATTTTCAGGCAGCTCACTGAGAACTTTTGCACATTCTGAACCATTGCAATTTCTTTTGAATTAAAATTTCTTTTTTTTTGAGTGCGAAACCCATCGCAACAATCGATCTCTGGGATTTCCACATGTAGGTGGGTTGCTTGGAATTCTCAGTTTGGTTTGGATGCTCTTAAAGTATGGTGATGAGTTTCTGCATGTATTAACTGGCTGACCCCCAAAAAACTGTGATAACTTTTTTTTTAACCTTGTGCAATATTTGCGGTAATAGTCCGGAGCAAATGATAACTTTTGGTACAGTTTGTGACTTTGACTCGGTTTCCCCATTCACCACAAATTTTTGTACACCATCTGT